AAAAGATTAAAATTCGATTATTATGTGGTTCTCAGTATCTTTGGTAAGTGAATGGATATGATTTGTATTGAATGAGATATTTCACGTAAGACTTAAAAACATGGATATGACTGTGTGATAACTCGCTTCATCCAGCCATTCCCTCAGTAAAATTTACACGGAAACATGTATTCATTTTCTTCTTACCCCAAGGGTAAAGCCGGTGTGATTAAGAAATCAAGTGATTTCCGGCAATCTTTTCGAGAATGTAGGAAATATTTGGAAAGTCTCCAAAGTTATCGGGGTTGAGTTCTTTTTCTTCGCCAAGCAGAACTCTGCCCTGCCCTCCTTGTTATAAATAAATGCTTATTGCCTAATATATTTTCTACTTTAGAAACTCAGTTTCCTTGAATAAAATGGTTCAGTTCTTGAATAAAATATACACTTGAAAAACTCTACTCTAACTATGGATTTATAAATATGACCTCAATATTTCGGTCATAAACATTAACTGAATCTTAAGTTTATCTTTGGTAAAATTTACAATAATGTTAAAAGCATTTTCTGTGGACAATTTCTGGTCCCATTTCGTCATATTCCTGCATAGAAATACACATCTGAGGGAAAGTCGACAGTCCAGCGAGCACAGCACTTCCGCTCCACACGGCGTGCTTCCGGTCATCCGGGCTTATGACCCTGACCCGGCCGGGGTCACGTGGATTGACGAGCGTCGCTATCTCTTTGTGAAGGCGTTCACCCAGTCCAGGTAACAATGTGCTTCCACCTGTAAAGATTAACGTTGGTGTTAGTACAGCACAGCTATACTGTGTGTCGTAAGAGTAATCACCAAAGTAATCGCACTGCCGATCTCCATTGCAAGAATAGAGTAAAAAACAAACTAAACTTCGAAGAGATAGCGCACCTAGACTACGAGTAGTCCCTGTTTCGCTTAGGTCGTCGAGCGAGACCTTAAATAAACCGCGAGGAAAAAGTAGCCGCGCGAAATTCTGGGGACGAGGATTTCGCGCGGCCATTTTCCCCCGCGGTTTTCTTTCTCGTTACACACGACGGAAAAAGCGAAAGAGGGACTACTCGTTGTCTATAGCGCACGGAAAATACGGTTTGGGATCACTTGACTTGTTTTCTGAGCAACAGATAGAACCAGAAAAAAACGAGCGTTCTCACCTGATAACAAGATATTTTCAAGCAAGTCCTTTCTGATATCCACGTCACACTTCCTGATGCAGTTGTAGATGGATTCGTGTATTCCAACAATGTCCATGCCAAGCATGCTGGGATTGAATAAGACCTCTGGGCAGCGGAATCGTTCATTTGCCACGCGTATGGATTGACCGTCAGGGAGCTGGAAAATAACAACATTTTAACGTTCATCAAGAAAGGCCTCTGTCAGCTAGTAAATAAAACAGTTGTCGATAACAACATGTCTACTTCCGTTCAGTCCTGCTCTTAAAAAAATAGGCCATATACAGAAAAAACAAACAAAAACCGTGTTACCTACCATATACAACTCCTCGCACTTATCACTAGTCTCAGACTCCCGCAGTTCGCGATCAAAATCAAGCGCTACGTAAGAGAGCTTCTCCTTGATGTCCCGTATGATCTCTGTCTCGGCCGAGGTCGTAAATGAGTAGCCCCTCTCCATAAGGATCCTCATCATGTACTTGGTGAGGTCCCTTCCTGCCAGGTTCATTCTCTGGGTTGCGTGAGGGAGCCAGTATCCCTCGTACACTGGAACAGTGTGGCTTACTCCATCACCGCAGTCGAAAACGGTGCCTAAGTGACCATAGAAAATTGATGTTATTTTGTGTGTCTTATCTCCGAACTGAAACAGTGCAGTTGACATTAAAAACCACGCTTGACTATCGCAGATACAGACGAACGTCCCACAACCGCCACCTTAGGGGCAGAGGAAAGTGACCCTTGTTGAGAGGTGGCTGTTATGGGAAAGTAGGGGTGTAATATGACATTTTTAATTTTTAATATAAAAAATAAAATGCTCATTGTAGCACATAAATACATAAGACATCCAAAGTATATCAATACAACAGAAACCCAGAGCAGAGACCAACGTCGACGTTCGGTACGGATCAAGTTTCGTGACCTTTAACAATAACTAGAGAGACACTCTCAGATAATGCAGAGTACAGTGTACAGTCATACAAGTTCAGGCCGAATTTGTATTGTATTGCTAGGGCTTTTCCCGTTGCAAATTATGAACGGACAGAGACCTTAATTAATTAATAATCTTAGTGTGCAAGATTCATGCGTGAATTTTCATTCAAGGCAAAAAAAGCTTACAAGAATGAATAGTCAACACAGCTTTCAATTTTACTGTGGATTCGACATTTCATTTTAATTCAATAAACATTATAGTTCACACGTTAGTGCCTTAACACTTAGCGGGTAGCAATCTAATCCATCCCAAAAGTGCACTGCACTAAAAATGGGGAATGGGAAAATGGGGCACAGTTTGTCAGTCTTTTGATTTACTGGCCGTTGAGGAGAGGTTATTTTAGCAGTTAGGACGCACTTTAATGGCCACAGTCACCGTTGTAGAGAGGTGAAAATAATAGTGACTGTAAAGACCGCCCGACTGACTTTGTTTATTCTGATCACCTAACGACCAACATTCCATTTCCTCTGACATTGCGAAGCGAAGTGGTGATAGTAAGAAAGTAATCAATTAGACGACGTAACTGATGCACCGCTAAATTCTCAGAGCTTGTATTAAGGGGATGTATGGGTATAATTAGGGAGAGTTGCTATCTTGATTAGGGTTTACCTGTGGTTCGTCCAGTAGAATACAAAGCCATCACAGCTTGTACAGCTATGTACAGGCAAGGCACCTCAAATGTCTCGAACATGATCTGTAACATGCGCTCTCTGTTGTACTTTGGGTTCAAGGGTGCCTCTGTCAACAAGGCAGGGAAGTCCTGGGACTCAACACGGAGCTGGTCGTATGTGTAAGTCCAAATCTAAACCATAAAAGACGAGAAAGAAGCACTGCATAAATATCAATTGCTCATTCAACAGTCAAGCATATAGATCGCCATAGTACAAGTCCGTAGGTTAATTCTGCTCGATGGAAGCACGTTGGTGCTCCATAAAATGACATGTTCAAATGGTATCACCCCCAGTCACATCAGTAGAAAGGTATTTCCGCTCGCTCTAAGAAAGAAACTCTTACACCTCTCCAAACTTCCAAGGGCATTCATACTCATTGAACACACGTTAAACGTTGTAAATTCTTTCTTTTTCCTCAGCCTAAACAGTTTCACGAGTTACAAAACATACCGACTCCATATCATCCCAGTTGAGTACAATCCCATGCTCCAACGGGTACTTGAGAGTTAACACACCACGCATGCTCTGTGCATCATCGCCGATATATTGATCCCTGTACTCGTGCATCATGGCCTCCTGGGTAATAGGAACAACACAAACACCGCTTATAGACTTGTTAGGATAAATCTGTCCTTAAACCAGTTGATCAACGATTTCAATTCGAGCCGAAGTTGAAATCAAACCACTTGGCCGCATCATTCAGTATTTGCCGAAATGACAGCACTTTATTTAACATTTTCCGTACGGACTTAAAACAAAACAAAAACCAAACTCCATTACTAGTTAAAACAAAATTGGAGACGCAATGAAAATTTTTTTCGATTTCATTCTTTAAAGGATTCATGGACATTTCAATACATAGAGTAAGATCATTCTCACAGTGCAACTACTCAAAAATATTAGAGAGTTTCAGGCCCCGTTTAAACCACACCGGAGAAACTTGAAAACGCAGCGTTATTTCTACGGTTACACCTACCGTCCTCACTAATCCGTCACGAAAACTGAACTTTTCGGAAACGAAGAAGTCACGATAATCATGTGCTTCCCTGCCTGAGTTTTCCGCTGACACAAATCCAAAATGACCGATGATTGCTGCGTTTCCCGGAGTAGTGTGGACGGAAAACATTTGATGCGTTTTCAGAGAAAAAAATGCCATTTTCATATTTCTCCGGGGTAGGATGGTCGGGACCTGAGCAAACCATAACGACAACGGGAACTTCACCAAACAGAAGTTTTTTTGAGCAAAACAATGGTTATGTACGTGCTTTGAATAATTGTTGATACATTTCTCTGCCGTTCTCTACAAAACAACATGAAATGACCAAATCTGCGTAGTCAAGAGAACGTGAATCTCGAGGCCAATTTTTTAAAACTGAGTTTTCGAATTTTACTGCGCTGTCAAACTTATTTAGTTTGAGATAGCTATGACAAAGATAGAAAAACTGAATGAATCCATTTTCTGCCGAGATTCGTAGGTTGAATATAAATTCAATTTTTTTTTATCGGCGGAGGCTGTCATTGGCGTTGCGTCACCTTACAACGAAGCCACCCCGCCAGTTATCGCTTGGCTGTTATTACCAACAAACTCACCTGATGACGCGGTTTACCGACCACTGCGGGAAAAACTACTCGTGGCTGTTTTTCGTTGGAGAAACCAGCTTTACAGAAACCCGAGCCATTATCGATTACAGCAACTACTCCCCCGCTACGTTCCTGAAAAGGAAAATATCGTTAGAATAAAATATTTCCCTGCATCATTCAAATTTGTCGATCGATCGATCGATGGTTCGTTCGTTAATTTGTTCGTTGGTTCGGTTCATTCGTTCGGTCGGTCGTTTATTTATTTCATTAACTCCATACTTACAAAGGCTACGTTATGTTCACTCGCCACAGCAGCAGCTACAGGTGGCGCGGGAGCACTGGTGCGAACTGACACACTCCACATCACAGGATTTTTCTCCTCTTCGTCAGAACCCAGTGTCTCTCGGTCATCGGATGAGGTCTGAGCCACAATGAGTTTCTGTACCTCTTCTAAATCTTCTGAGCTGTCTGAGAGCTCAGAGTCGCTTGCGCCGATAATATCAAGTAAGTCGTCATCTTCCTCAGTCTTCCTCGACGACACGGGCAAATTTGGCGGCGAGGAGACTAACTTGGAATCCACTGCTTGACTCTCGATGTCGCTGCTTAGAGATCCTAGTTCATTACCTTTCTTAATAATTTCGTCTGGTTGAACTTGATTTGCGGCTTTTTCATCATATGCCATCTTTTCTAGTTGTTCAAATTCCTCGTCTGAAGCCGTCTTCGCAAATTCTTCGTGGGACACTTCATTAATGTTCTCGGCAGCCTCGTCACGAGCTTTTTGCTCGTACAGCTCTTTCTCAAGCCGTTCAAACTCTTCATCAGATGAATCATCTGTAGGCTCGTGAGCTGACTGCTTACTCTTCTCCTCGGCTTCAATTAGCGCCTTTTCTTCATACAACAATCTTTCAATTTCCTCAAACTCTTCATCAGAACTTTTTCTCGTCGCCTCTCTGGTTCCCGATGCTTCCTCTTCGCTCTCGCTTAACTCGTTCTCAATCTCTCCCAGCCTCGCGACAAGTTTTTCGATATTCGCGCTGGTTTCAGAAAGCGCAGTGTCTTCTAGCTCATCATGTTCGGGTTCCTCACGTTCGGGTGTCTCGCGTTCGGATGTCTCGCGTTCGCGTGCCTCACCTTCGGGTGTCTCATCTCCGGGTGCCTCATGTTCGGGTGACTCACCTTCGGGTACCTCACATTCGGGTGCCTTACCTTCGATTGCCTCACCTTCGGTTGCCCCACGTTCGGGTGCCTCAAGTTCGGTTACGTCACGTTCGGGTGCTTCATCTTCGTCACTTGTTATACTTTCTTGCTCGTCCCCTTTAAGGCTTCCGTCTGCTTCCAAATCACTATCAACGTTATCTATGTAATTTGGCCTTTCCTCGGGGGTTAGACTTGCCTCAAACCTCTCGATAACATCGTCAGAGCTGTCAGACTCACCATCAGACTTCGTTTCAGCTTTATTACCAGCAAAAGCATCTAATTCCACAGAGCTGTCTTTCTTCTCTTCCTCTGGAATGGTTTGTACATCTGTTACTAAAGATTCCTGTGGATCTTCTTCAGCCATATCAAAGCTGTCTCTTGAATATTCAGGCGATGACATGTCAATAGCTCCAGACTTCAATAACTCTATAAGCTCATCTTCAGGCGATACTTTGCTTTCTTCGCTTACAAAATCACACTGTTCAATGTCTATGTCCTCAAGTTGACTTTCCGTTGGAGACGAATTCCGATCCAGGCTTAATCGGTCAGGTTTGGGGCTCTCTCGTTCCAGGTCACTCGTCCGTTCATTGGATACAAACTCTGCTTGCTGGGTTGGTCTAAATTCGTCTTCAGGTGTCTCGATATTATCATTAAAATCCAGCAGTTCGTCATTCTGTGCTTCTGTGCTTGTTTCTTCAGCTTCGCTGAACTCATCAAGTGCTACAGAGTTTGTTTGAGATCGAAAGTATGAGAGTCGTTTCTCGCGGATTTCCTCCAGTTCTCTCTTAGTTTCAACAGGCTCCTGAAAAACAACAACAAGAAAACAATGTTTTCGTTCGCGCGTAGTGACCCATCAGGCCGGTGCTTATCTCCGGTTTCCATAGAATGTAGCGACTAGGAGTACTACTACTACCCCCTGAATCGGATGTGTGTGGAAGGCGCGGTGGCCTCATGGTTAGTGCGTTCGTCTCTGGATCGAGCAGTCTGGGTTCGAACCCTGGTCGGGGACATTGTGTTGTGTTCTTGGGCAAGACACTTTACTCTCACAGTGCCTCTCTCCACCCAGGTGTATAAATGGGTACCGGCGAACTTAATGGTGGGGGATAACCCTGCGTGGACTAGCATCCCCTCCAGGGGAGAGTAGAAATAAGCTCCGAACTGCCGGGCTACTTGGCTCGTATGAAGACTTAACCTTTTTAACCTGGATGGGATGTTGCTCCATCGAAGGATTATCCCCAGGACTAAATTCCCCACTACTCATTTATACACCTGGGTGGACAGGTGTCTTTTTTTCCCGAAGAACACATCACCAACCCAGGAAAGGGCTCGAACTTAAATCGCTCTGGACATCTGGTGTCCAGTACACAGACCATTATGTCACAGCGCATTCCACAAGTTTTGTCAACACGAGAGTGAAATAGCATTGTTCAAGTCAGCTACAGTAAACTACGTGTAAGAACCTACATTTTTTGAAGTCTGGCTAAATAGGTTCTCGTATTTTGGGGTAGTTATTGGCAATTTAGGTTGTTAATTTTCATAAAGGAGATAGAGTTGTTGAGTATCAGAAAAATTGATAAACTTGAATTTGGTCCTTGAATATACAGTATTTATTCACAACTGTATCATGTATTATCTTGTCATATAAATTGCAATCTCCTTGGTTAAAATGTCTGTCATAATTTTAACCGTAAACCACATATAAGAACCTGTTTGATCTTGCTCGGTTAAACAGGTTCTTCATATGCACAAGCACAAGAATAAGCGGAAGCACAAGCGCAAGAAGAGCAATTCTTATTTCATCGTGTAAACGGCCTTGACGCAGACATTAGCACAAGCGCAAGCACAAGCACAGGGATCANGGGGGGTGTATTAATATGGCAAATTTCTGCCAGTAGGTTCTTAACCCATTAAGTTCTTACACTCGGGTTTTTATCTCGGGGTACGGGTGTTAAGCGAGGAATCACCCGAGGTAAGCCGTAAATTAGCTTCGATCGACAGAACTAACGCGTATCACTTTCTCACCTCGTCCACTGATCGTTCCTGTTCACTCGCCTGCTCTTCTCTTGCCTTGTTGGCCAAACTTTCGCGCATGCGTTCTTGGTTTTCCTGCTCGACCTTTTGCTGCCTGATCCATTCATTCTGTCTGTCTTCTTCTTCCTTTAACCGCCGCTGCTCCTCTATAAATTTATTCCGCTCTCTCTCTAAGCTGGCCTGTAATTCTCTTTGTTCGTGTTCCAGTTTCTCTTTTAGTCTCACGACTTCGTGATCGTCAAAACTCGCCTGTTTAACAGAGGTAGGCTTTGGTCTGTTCTGTGCTGTAGAATGAATTTGTTCGTCATTTGTCCCTTCGCGCGCAAGTTGGCCCCTTCTTACATTCTCCTGTTGCCTAGGAACCGCGTGACTGACAAGCTCTGCACCTTGTCGTTCCAAGGTTACACTGTCCGCTGAGTCGACTCGAAAATGATCAGCCTCGTTTCTGAGCCCACTATCACCAGGCTCCGGAGGTCGTCTGGCTCTGGAACTGTTGACCATATTGGGGGTTCCCGTGTCCAGGTCCCTTACGTCTCTCTCTGAATGAGCGCTTTGCAGTGTCCCTAAGTCAGAGTCCAATCTATGAGCGGGAGAGACTCCATTTTGAACATGCAATCCATTAAATGTTTGCGTTTCTTTATCAGTACTGGGAGGTTTCGCAAATGACGGTGATGACGCATTTGCATTGTCTTGAAATTGACGAGAAACATTACCCCTGTTGGCACCTGCCGTCTGAAATCCAGGAAAAACATTTCCAGCGCCGTGCACATACGAAGGAGAGAAGTTCGCAGTAAGCTGGGGCTGAGAATTTGTTTGTTGGAACGCAAACCTCTGCGGTACATTCACACCGGTTACAAAGGAAGCTGGGGCTACAGGATTAGGCACCAGTTGTTGCTGCTGTCGAGGGAGAAACTGCTGGTCGAACTGATTGTAAGAAATCGAGGGAGTCACATGATTAGTGGTCTGCAAAGCGCGCGCACTGTAAGGAGAACGATTATAATCTGGATTGGGTGGTGCCATACCGTTCCTCATTAACCACTGAACCTCCTGGGGAGATAAAGATTGGAACAAGTCCGCGATAGCTTTTTCGACTCTACTGAGCTCCTCTTGCGCGTAAAAATACTGCTCTTCTACATCTTGTCTAACGATATAGTCGAGTTTTTGTTCGAGAATGTGACGCCGGCTACGTATCTGATTCATCCAGTGTATTTCCTGCTTCTTTAACAAGCGGAACTGCTGTATTTTATCCGTTTGCGATACAATAGGGACGGCTACCTGATGTCCATGCATAGACACAAGTTGTGGCTTCATTCCAGGAGTTGTAGAATAACTTTGCTGTATGTAACCATTCGAACCATTAGTCTGATGAACTACGCTGGGATAACCGTTCAAAAGCAACCCTGGTGAAGAACCTTGAGGAACGTTTCTTTGAGGGATATTTGTAGTTTCTGGGGAGAGATGATCTTGTTTTATCGGCGAAGTGTCGTCCTCGCTATCCCTCAGCAACATTACCTCACTGAGTAACCCCTCCACTTCACGGTCCACTGAGTCATCTGATGTCAGTTCCGGTCTAGCGCCCGAGTGCGCAGGACCGGAAATCAGATGACCCCTAGGAGACATCTTGTTGTCTTTTGAATTGGTAAAACGTTTACTCTGACCATTAAGAGTTGGGTATTGCTCACCGTTCGGTGCCGTGCCATTCACGTGATTTGTGTTTAGCTCCCGCAGATCAAGCGGTGGAACAAAGCATTCTCTAATCTCCTGAAGTTGTTTGAGTTCTCTTTCCAGTTTTATCTGTTCCTGTATCAAGTTATTCATGTTACTTGACATTTCCTGTGCTCTCTTGAGCTTCTTTCGCTCAGGTTTTTTGGGTGCAACTTTTTTCGCCACCACTCGAGTGTCTGCCGATGAGGTCGATAGCACATCCTCACTCGGTCCTGCCTGCCTCACGTAAGGATGCTTGGGTCCTGTCCGCCAGTCCCGGTTGTCTCTTGGCTCCCTATTGCTGATCTGCCTGAAGTATCTGCCAGTCTCCCCGGGAGGACAAGTCTGGCTGAACAAGTCCTCTTCCGTAAATCGTTTCGCTGACGAGCTTTTAGAGAACGGCTCGTACGAATCTAGTGTTTCAGACTTAGGCCTGCGCTCCGCACCACTGAACTGCTTTCGTTCCGAGTCCCTCGCGGTACCGTTTAGCACCGTGGCTGATCTACTCGTAGGGGGTGTCGGAAGAATAAGATTTTCTTGTGATGCCGAGCGGTCACGTGCCTTCATGTAGCATGCTGCATCCTGATTGATTATTCTAGCAGGAGTATCCTTGATTCTACTGTACTGATGTTCACTTTCAACTTGCCTGGGAGACCTCCTGAATTTGTAAAAGCAGCGTAAAGGTTTTTAATATTTCAAAACCAGGAATTTAAAACACTTGTTGCACAAGGAACGCTATTAAAAAGTTGTATGGCACTGAGCGGTGAAAGAGAGATGTGTCCTATTCTATTCAACTAGTTGGAAAATGATCATGGACAGAAATAAAATCAACAATTTGACTTGTCTCCAGCACGTCACCACAGCCCTTACACCCGGCATCCCTGCCCATATTCAATGACCTCTCGTAAAATCTAACATTGGGGGCTTTTTGCTAATCACTGTGTTGTGTTCTTGGGCAAGACACTTTACTCTCACAGTGCCTCTCTTCACCAAGGTGTGTAAATGGGTGCCCGCGAATTTGATGCTGGGTGGTAGTCGCTTCATGCTACAGAAACTGGGATAAGCTCCGGCCTGATGGGCCACTGGCCTGACGCAGACATTGCCTGGTGTCCGAGCATGGAATCAATAGAAAACACTTGTCTAGGCTTTGGAACTAATTAGTTTATGGTGATGGTACAGGTAGCGAAAGTTGTTCAAATTATTCTTTGATACGGTGATGTATTACAAGAGCCAGTTTTTGATAAACGTATTATATCTTCCTTCCATGCCAACAAAACAAGCGATAAAAATTCTCAAACCTTGAAGCTCCTCCATTGCCATACGCTGACCTCTTGTTCTCAGTTCCTTGTCTTCTTCTTCCAAACTCTTCTACATTTGTTTCGCGGGCTCGTATAATCTTCTCAAGTTCCCTGCAACGATGCGTCAGTAATTTGGCCTGGTTCCTCTGCTGCGTATCCGGGACTTTATCAAGGAATGCTTCTAAGAAGAGAAGTTCCTTAGGGGAGGGTGGAGGGAACTTGACGAGAAATCTTGATAGTCTGTCTTCGTATTGCTGTAAGTCGCGATTAGAATCTGGAGATAACATGGAGCTGCTTGAAGTTGTGCCTGAAGTCGCTTTTGAAGGCCAGAACTCGGCCGCTTTCCCGTACCACGTCTCCGCCTGCAGATCAATAAATAACTGTCAAACCGAGTGTTCCTTTGATGGGAACTCTGAAATATTGCAGTGTAATGTTCCCATGTTGATTGACAGTTTGCTCGAAGCAACTTGCACTCCCCAGGGGCATAAGAGATACGGGTTTTTGACATTTAAGTGGGCTTTTAAATGGTAAGTGTCTTTTACGGACTGCCGGTATATGCTCCAACGAACGAATCATTAAACCTTCGATCGTGTTTATCCCATAAGCATGCATGTACCTTACTACCTTGAATTCCCTAGACCTGCACTTTTTCACAAGTTACATGTAAACCCAGTGCAAACGCCAAACCTTGTACTTAACAGTTAAAGAGAGTAATGTTTCAATACTCTCGGACGGTAAGACCAGAAAAGGTGCACCACCAAAAGCAAATCATTAAGAAATAAATCCAGTAACTCGAAAAGGTCTAAAACAAGTTTAAGCTCGGCTTTTGTGAAACTTTAATTACCTTCTTCAGCAGGTTGTAAAAGTTCACGGCATCTTCTAACAACATCTTGGTGTGTTCCACTTTGTTGCTTAAGCTTGTCAGGTCAGACAAAAGGACTTTAGAAGCAGTTTGAAGCGGTCTTTTGTCACGCAGATTTCTAGTGCTCATTTCGTTGGCCCGTTCAGCTAACTCTCTTCCTTGGATTATAACTTCCTGCAAAGTGAAACGATAACCGGAAATAGTTTGAATACAAGAATTGACGAAACAACGGCGCTGAATGTTTAAGAGACATTAGATGCGCACGCTTGTAAACCGCATGCAGTGCATGACAAGAGTAGCATACCGTAGGGTTTTAACGTTGCTTTGATCGTTTGTGCTGTTGTTCGTTTGCGAGTTCTTTGCTGTTGTTGTTGTTGTTGCATATATTATTGAGCTTTTCACACAAATAAATATTATCAAACCTTGGTCAGAGGATAAAACTCGCCGTCAAACTTTGCTTTATTTTGATTGGCTGATCGGAGAGAATCAGCACCTTTGGAGAATTTGTTCAGTTGATCTTCGGCGTCCCCTCGAATCCACTTCACCAACTGCAATACATGTACAACGACACGTGTTAGTCCCTTTGGTCGAAGTCTCAATACTTCAAAATTCCTCTTTTGCAGTTCTTTTGAAGTAAAGTAAACATGCCTTCAGTGTATTATACTCACTCGACTTAAGTTCTCTCGCAATTCATGGACGTCGTCAGGTTGGGAACTAGTGACAACAGGCACTGAAGCAGTTTCACCTTTCCAGGCCTGGTCGAGTTGCCTTTTAGCTTGAATGAGTTTGTCACGGTATGGTTTGATCGTTTCCATCATGGGTGCGTACAGCGGTTTCCTGGACATTACTGAGAATGTCCTGTCATATTCAGGCCTAAGCGACAGCTCATTCAGATGATCTCCCTCTTCAAGGGCAACATCGAGGGATAAGTCACTGAAATCGTAAAAAGAAATATGTCTTCACCAGTTGATCGATGCCATAACCATCAACCGGGGGAGGTACCCCACAAAATTGTATACGAGGAGGATCCACCCCACTGGCCCGGTCCACACAATCAACCTTTTATCTGCCATTTTTGATAGATAAGTCCAACCCCCGCACTTAGCTGGAGTTGTTTCTCGGTAGACCATAGTTCAACTCCACAGTCATGCTTGCAAATAGCCAACTGGTCTGCCTCCCACCAGTTAGGATTTTTAAGCCTATTATGTTTAGTTGACAAAATTGTGTCTTTCAGTTTAGGTGGCATGCCTGTGAACGAACTAGTTGTAGCTAAGCGCATCAACCACTATAAACAACAACATCAGTTTGAACATTTTTTTTTCTGAACGGTGTCTGATTTAATGACTGATGTCGGCAGTCTTTTTGATCAGCAAAAATCAAATAACCCGATCTTATCCATTCCACACACTCTATTACCGTTTTATCTGTGCCCTTTTTGTCTCAGTTCTNATTTGTCTTGTCACTTTTACAGTCTGTCAGCCATTCATGGTGAACCAGTTTGCAACAGAGTGTTTTTCAAACTTCAATAACAAAACTTTGACAACAACCTTGTATATGGAAAGTACTGTTATGTCAATTAAGATGGCTCTTTGCACAAACCTGAAATGCTTGTATCAAACCCACAACATGAGTGACCACAGCTGCCCTGGAACTACGGAAGTCAAGAAGAAATGAAATGCCTGCCTCTTTGTACCATGACCTAAAAAAATGGAATAAACATTCTATAATTTCATATCTATAACCAATCAGGGTCTGCCATTTCTGTTGAATACTGTAACAGAATGATGTACATTTTATTATTATCATTATTATTATTATGTTATGTACTAATAAAATTGGGGCCAAACCTGGAAAGAAAAGCAAGGTATTTCAAGAGCTTAATGACATCAGCCTGGTTCAACTGCACAAGACTGGGGTAACGCTGGGACGGCAATATCACCAGTGGGTGTCCTTGTAAATCATGACCACCTGCAGCAACAACAAGAAAATACAAATCACATTATTTTACTTTTTGCTGGAAGATAATGTATTAATCAAATATGTACTCTATTATATAACCTTTAACAATCTTTTCTGACATTTATTTAGTGTAACATTTTCTACAGTCATTGAACAGATGTATTTTTGAAGGTCTACTTATGTCACACTGCTTCTACAATCTCTTCAGTTTAGGCCACTGTGCAGTAAACACTTTTTAGTAGGAGCTGATCGAATCCGAAGATAATAAATTACCACTCCTCAGTTACTAGTAAATCTGCTGCAGGCCATTATATAAACCTACATTGCATGATAAAGTTTTCCAATGCATACAGACATGTACCTAGATGCACATTACTTTTGTACACAAGTCATGTACATGTATTTCATATTCAGGTCATAAATATTTATTTTCTGATATTTTTGCATGCATACATGCTTGCTATGGATAGGCTTGATTCAGAAGTTATTTACAGTATATCTCAAACACGAAGGCACTCAATTGGCTTACGCAGCAAACATGTAATTTACAGCCTCAGTAAAGTAGTTAATGACATGCTCAGTGGCTTGCTCACTCTTCACAGATTAATAAGTTTGAATTTGTTCAAGGGTACAACGACAAATGCCTCAAATTTAATTGATTAAAAGTCTCCTGGAGGTGCTTTGCACCACATTATTTAGTAATCTCTTCTCAACATTTGGAAGTCTGATTAAAAAGCTGTCTCTCATGTTTGATAAAAAATAGTTAATAACCTGAAAGGACTGCAATCTCTGATAAAATGAGGCCGTCTTCTGGCATATAGAGCCTCTTCTCTTTAACATATGACCTTGAGCCCATCCCTACAAACACGAAATGTAAAAACATTTGAAGTCAACAATATCAATCACTACAATCCATCAAATATTTTTGCTCACACACGATTGGTCTAAAGGCATCATGTGACTGAACCTGCCTCAATTCAAACTGCAGGGGAATATCCAAGTGATTTAATTGATACCCATTTCCTCAGACAATTTCCATGCTCCCATCATAGGGAAACAATAAGCATGTTCACCTGTTGAAGACTGTAGTTAACACAGTTGAGAGTGTGATGCTTTTTACATACTTTTAAATTTTACCATGATTCATTCTGGCTGTGGCCCTTCTATTTATTCACAAAATACTGTAAGCATATGGTAAGTAACATGACTTTTTTACTTCTTTTGTTAGTTTTAGATTAACACTGACTTGCCATTAATGGATAATATTTATAAATTAATAAATATTAAATAAATAAATAATAAATAAATACATACATAAATAAAATGCAGTGTGATTAGAAAAGCACCCAGCTCAGGCCACTAATTCTAAAGGTTTCTTTTGACCATAAGTAAGTACTTAAAAATTGCATTTTCAGATTTATGATTTCCGGCCTCTGTATAACCTACACTGTACTGTGGACAAACCTTGACAAAAGACATGTAGTCATCGCAAGGCATTTGACATTTTTAAATTATATAAATTCAATGCTATCTGATGATCACTGAATAACTTAGTGGTTGTGGGTAATATTATAAATTTAAAAATCAACTATTCACAGCATTGCACTCCAACTGAGCATGTCACAACAGGTGGCAATGTCATAGTTTTAACCACAGCCAAGATATGCAGCCATGTACATATTACCAGTCAGTGAATAAGATACATGTCCAAACAGTACATGCAGCTACTTGCTAAGAAGAGGTCCCAATCTTAATTGCAGGTTGTATATTAAACAGTAAGTTAGAGTAACTGCTACTAACAGTGGTTGAATATTCATGAATTGGCAAGGCTTTTGTTTAGTTTTTACACTTGCAGGTTCCTCTTGCAGTATGAGGGTTGTACGGGGGGGAGGGGAGTCAATGGCACGTTTCATGAATGGAAAAAATTGAGGATCACAGATACTAAAATTTCGTTTTCCCAAATCACGAAAGTAAGCAAGTAATTAAGTTACTCTTTTTAATAACCAGTGTTCTTACACTAGAAAGAGTGTTTGAAGAAAGAAAAATCGTGCAAGGCTAAGTCAAGGGTCCATATTGCAAATCGCATGTCTATTAGTCACTCTCGATAAACGACTGTAACCATTCAGAGGACTCGCATCTCAAAATCACATAGATTTGAGTGGTGAAATCACGAAAATTGGTGAATAATTCTAGTTCTTCACACGTCAGGCAAAACCTTCAGGTCACAGATCGCGGACAATAATTTCGTAAATTCACCTTTCACAGAAAATAAAATCAGCTAATCTCTCATCACACTTGTATGGCAAAATATAAATTAAAGATACACCTACACTGTAGCAACTCTTAGACAGCACTGTCCAGTAAAATTTTGAGACAGTGGTTATATGAAACAATTTTGGCCAAAGTTCTCTGAAACACCTTTTATTTGAAGGAACATTTCTTACCCTACATGTACATGCAGCTTTTCAGCAAGCACAACACAACCACAGTAATGGCCTGCAACTTTGGGGGGTTGGATAGCATCTCTCACAAGGCCTCAAATGAATGGCTTGATATTGACAAATTGACAAAAGAAAAGCTTGTATAGTCAATGTTAACAATATATCTCTGACCAATAAATGATCAAAGCAAGCTGTACTGTGTATGGATGCAATACTTGTGACCATTTTTATCATTGATGATGTTTTATAATGTTCAAATTCCATTCATTTGTCATTTCCAAGTAATTGTGATGTGCAAAGGAAGTCCTGGAGGGCCCTGGCTGGTGGATTTTACAGTTGGGCTTAAGTATTCAAATTCAAAATACAGAAGCACTCCTAAAATTATTGTAGTCATTCATTTTTTTCTTTGTTAATCAGTCGTGCTAGTTAGTAGGAAAATTTTATGGGGCTAGTGAAAGTGACTGGACCATAGTGTGAGGCTCTGCCCAAAAGGGGAGCCTTTTCAGGCTTCAGCTATTTAAAAGGGTACTGGGCATTTCACAAGTGGAGGTATAATTATGAACAGGTAGAGAAATAGGTCATTTAGTTATAAGAATGTTCAATTAAAATATTTCAAAAAAGGTAAGGGGCTGGACCTGGGGGCAGAGTTAAAGATAAAGGCTGCATACAGACCCATCAGGCCGGTGCTTATCTCAGTTTCTGTACCATGAAGCGACTAGGAATATTTCTACTCACCCCTAGATGGGATGCTAGTTCATCACAGGGTTACCCCCAGTTTTAAATTTGCCAGTGACCCATTTGTACATCTGGGGTAGAGAGAGGCACTGCAAGAGTAAAATGTCTTACCCAGGACACCAACACAATGTCCCCAGCCAGATGAACCCAGACTGCTCAATGAGGACCTCAGGGCGGAGCCTCGCGTATAAAACTTTGTAGAGTTTTTTTTTTCGTTTTAAATTTTCTTGTTTTAATTGTTAGACTTGATCCAATGCTTTGCATTGCTTTGTAGAGTTTTTTTTTTTTAATTTTCTTGTTTTAATTGTTAGACTTAATCCGATCTTTTGCTTTTTAATATTTTAGTGTATTTCATATCTCAGTTGGTTTTATATAATCCTTGCATATTTGAGAATCAGTTTCTATACTTTCAATTTTTAACACGTCATCTCTTTATTCTGTAAATGTTTACATGAGGGCCACTGGTTTTTCAGTGATTACTGTTGTGTGCTACCCTCAAATAAATCAAGTTGGTTGGTTATTAGAGTATGCCATCTCCCCAGTACAATCCCAGTTACAGCTTTTTCAAAGGGGGAAGCTGTAAAACTGATTTTCTTTGCACCCTGAATTTAACTTTGCTGGGCTAATATTTTAAATAGTGAATAAAGCAGTTGCTTCAAATACCCTCTACTCATAATGTTTATGTAAGTATTGCCTTAAATCTCATACATGTATTTTTTTGGCTCAATCGCTTCATGCTACAGAAACCGGGATAAGTTCTGGCCTGATGGGCCACTTGGCTCGCATGCAGACTTTACCTGCCTCTGTGGACCTTTTGAGGCTGAACCTAAGAGGTACCAAAACTGCATTTTAACCCCTTCAAAGGGTACAACAAGCACCCCTGTCCCTTTCATGAGAGTACCCCCAGGGGTCTAAGCTTGACATGGCAGATTTTCTTAATCTTCTAAAGATACAATATTATTTTCTGGTTTTGACATGCATATGCCAGTACTGTGTAAGATTTGTGCTATTGATAATTATGTAAACTGTGCTAGACCTTCTTTCTTCCCTGATAACAGGGCTCAAACCAAAGCACATTTGTCTGCTGACACTGAAAAAATGCCTCCACTAATTTAACTTAGGAAGATAAGAAATAAGTTAAGGCTTTTGCAAACAATCTACTTATAATTATGCTGACACCTACATGCTAACCTTTAATACTCAATTTACGATAAGAATACATTGATTCATCACCTACTGGTGAGATTGGTGTGACATTACGGACCAATTAGGCACGTTTATCAGCATGTTGAAGATCTGCTCCCGTTGCAAAGAATTTGAGACCTACCGCGAAGTCTAACAAAGAATGTATACATACTTCCCTCGCTACATCATGCACAAAACCATGTTTGACACATAGCTTATTAAAGGGCAAATTTGTTTGACTCAATAACAAGCTAAAGATATTACTATGGCAAATTGAATACTGTAATTGCATGAATATAGACTGAATGCGATAATACAGTGCACGATCAAACATTCTCCAGGTTTCGATCATCGGTTTCAATGATAAATTTCCGCGACATTACAGGTCAATCCGAACGCAAAGATCGAGTTTCTTACTCGATTTTTTTTTTCGTCTGTGATATTTTCAAACTTTTTACCTTAGATATGCGGGTAAATATTCTTTGCTGATGTAAGCTTACATGTAAGTGTGCGATCAAATAATGTGTTATGACATCAAGCTTCGTGTATACTAAAACCCTTCTTCCAACCACATTTACGCAAAACACAGCTGCAAACCTAATGGAAGTTTTGCAAGAAGATTCCTCCATCACCTTTACTTGTAAGCTTATATTGAAGGACAGACGTGACTTACCGTCTAAATCTTCAAATTTCAAAATGCGATATTTCTTCTTCCCACATCAAGAACATCACGCCGATTATAATTAGTTCTGAAGTAAACCATGATCGGATTTGAGCCGGAACAAGCTTTACTCACGGCCCGTATATATAGCACGCACAGTGTCAAATCTTTTGAACTTTGACGATTTTTCGATCGTTTCTCCAGAAGCAGAGTGTTCAATGGCTTTTAACCGCGCCTTGTGCATTACAAAAGACGATTCATTGTAGCTGTCAGAAAGTGATGACCTGAAATATGTCCAGAAGTTTTAAAACAACACTAATTACACAAATGACCGAAGCGATCCAGCGACCCGCGCAAAAACAAGCAAGCGGTATGTGGCAAACCGCTCTGTTGTTTGGGTTAAAAATATCCTATCCGGGGAGGGGTAGGTAGTGAGTCGGGTACTCTAGGTACTCCTTGGTAGCCGAGCTTTTAATTTGAACGCCTGACGAAAATCCGGCATTTCGCAATCTCAAGGCGGAATAATCAAACACCGGTAATTTTTTGCGACTTTCAGCACGATTTTTTTTAACTCGTCTTATTGTTTCGAATCAGAGTTTTGATGATCTTCATGGAAGGCAAAGGTAAAAAGGGAATCCCGGGTCGATCTTCATTCTTTCTGCAGTACTTCAATCCTTCTACTACCAAAGGAAAAAGGAATGTTGTGATTTTGTGTTATGCTATGGGATTCATTGGTCTTCATGCTATTTGGGCACACGCGAAAGGCAACAAGACTGCAATAACTGATGGGAATACAGAGGTTCAAACGATAAGTTGATAACATTAACAGCAACGGCCTAAAACAGCAATGGACTAACTGCAGAAGAAGATTCTTACATGTACGCCCGTCGCAATTTTTCGAATTTTTTCGGCAACCTGGCTTCTCATTCAGTTCACGATGACTCAATTTCTCTGGCGAACTTCATCAACGCAGGACAGTAGCTCTAATGTATTACGTTTCGTAGACATGCAGCGATCATAATATCAGCGAACTGCTGAAACTTTATGTTACCACCGTACACTGTAACGAGCCGTTTAAATGTCATGAAATATGTTAAGGCGTCGGCCTTTGTTACTTGAGGGTTACTACACTTACTGATCTGTACTTGTTTCTCTGGACAGTAATATCAACTTGTCAAAACTTTGTTTAATACTTAATTTGGAATTGGTGAAGAAAGCATCAGCCTCATAGCTTTTGTTTTCAGAAAATTTTATATTTATGTATATTGTGTGCGCTATATTTATGGGCTATATTTATTATTATTACAATTGTTATTATTAATTTTGAATAATAATAGAAGTATAGTCTGAAATTATGGACTTAACACTTATCAAACATTCCAACTTCTACTTATGATTGTGAAGTTGTTATTAAGAGGTGAGGAAAAGTCACATAATTTTTGTCTTTTTAACATCTTTTTATGGCAACTAATAAGGATGTTATAATGTCTAATATTTTTTTATTGATAATAAAATCAATGTGCAGGATGAAAGTTATTTATCAGTAGCTAATGGGCTACCTGTGATGTAAATATCATGAATAAGATTGGGTGGTCTGAGGGTTCCTCCGTAGCCTGGCTGCAAATGTCTTCTACATTTATGTTCTTTGCTTCAGGCAGAAAGTGATGTCATCAATTTTCTGCACAAAAAAAACAAAATAATGTATTATACATTGAACTCACCATCTCTTTTCTGATTGGCCAAAAGCGTACAGTAAATTTTCATAGTCAGCGCCTGTGGCATCATCTAGCTGGAGATTATACAATAATCATGTCAAGGACACTCAAGGTCATGGGTAATCATATCATGTATGACTGCAGTGCATGATTTCTAAGGGTAATCATGTCAAGTTTGCGTGCTTTACTTTGCTTGCCGTCAGTGAAGAAGCAAAAACATGACCTCCATTTTTTTTTTTCTTTCAATGTATAATAAAGCAATCATTACATTCGGTTTTTGTGATATCCTGAATAATCAAGGTCTCCATATGGGTTATCAGCCTCGGCCTTCGGCTTTGGCTGATAACCCCTACCTTGACCTTGATTATTCTGGATATTACAAAAACCTCATCCAATAATTGTCTAAAATGCCAATATTTAGTCAAAGGGAAATGTTGCAAAATATACGTCAGATATTTTAGTGTGTGAATAAATTCTGTAATATTATCTGTAAGCCGATTTATTTTGGATTATTTATTGAGCCATTTGTTAAATTATGATGTTGTGATATCATGTTGCCTTTTTTTTTTTTTT